TTGAACCTGCAAAATAGAGGTGCTAACAAACCATCCAAGTGAGTGACCAATAAGCCTTAGAAATCAGGTCAGAGATTTCCCTAGTGGCTCAGTGGTTAAGAATCCTCCTGCCAATGCAGGGGACACGGGTTCCAGCCCTGGTCCGGGGAGATCCCACATGCCGTGGAGCAACTAAGCCCGTGCACCACAGCTACTAAGCCCATGCGCCACAACTACTGAGCCCGCACACCTAGAGCCCATGCTCCGCAACAAGAGAAGCCACCACAGTGAGAAGCCCGCGCACTGCAACGAAGAGTAGCCCCCGCTCGCCGCAACTAGAGAAAGCGTGCGTGCAGCAACAAAGACACAATGCAGCTGGGTTTTAAAAATAAATAAATAAATAAAAATTTATTAAAATAATTTATAAAAATAAATAAATAAAATTTATAATTTATATTATAGAATATAAATTATATTTATTTATTTATTTTATTAATTTATTTATTTATATAAAATATAAATTATATTTTATTATTTTATTTAAATAATATTATAAAATATTATTTATAAAAATAATTTATAAAAAATAATTTATAAAAATAAATAAATAAAATTTAAAATTTTTATAATTTATAAAAATAAATAAATATAAATAAATAAATAAATAAATAAAATGTATTTAAAAAAAAAAAGAAATCAGGTCAGATTTTAGGAGAAGAACAAGGCTGGAGATGTGGAATGCTGAGACTCCATGGAAGCCATGGTGGGATGTGATGCTTTATTGCTCACTAATATCTGTCCCCTTCCCTGAAGAAGATTCTTCTTCCCTGCCCTTTATAATCAGGCTTGATCATGTGACTCGCCAAGGAAAGTGAGAGGAAAGTTAAGTCACTTGCACTAAAAAGCTTTAAAAGCCTATTGATTCACACCCTTCTCTTTTCCTCTTCCATAGAACTGGTAATGCCCAGCTAGTGATTGCTTCATTAGCCTGGCCCTAGAGTTAAATTAACAAAGGAAAAAAAAACAAAAAACAAAAACCCATAGCTGCTCTGTAGGGTGTGAGAGAAATAATTAGTGTCTGTAAACGCCACCGGGCGTTGACAGTTGTTTGTTACTGCAGATTCACCTAGCCGAACCTAATGGATAGGTCATAGGAATGAATACAATTGTCCCCAAAGGGAAAGTAAAGAAAGACCAGAGGATGACTTCGCACAAGACTTAATCCAACAACTGCGAATGTGTCATTTCACAGGAAAAAAAAGATCAGTTGAGCTATATTTGCCAAGTTATGTTAAGCATAATTTCTTAAGTTTTGTCATTACTTTTTCTGTATAGAAAACTTGCATTAAAAGAAAAACGTGGGGAGGGATAAATTAGGAGTTTGGGATTCACAGATAGGACTATATACTACTGTACATAAAATAGATAAACGACAGGACCTACTGTGTAGCACAGGGAACTATATTCAGTATCTTGTAATAACCTATAATGGAAAAGAATCCAAAAATAATATATATATATGTATGTATATATGTATATGTGTGTATATATATAAAAACCAAATCACTTTGCTGTGCACCAAAACTAACACAACATTGTAAAGCAACTATACTTAATTAAAAAAAAAACCTCGCTAAGTCAGACAAAGTTATTCTGGTCACCTTTGGAAATGTTTGCTCCATGAAATATTCTGTGAATGAATAGCAATCACCCTCCCGTACCAACAATTTTGAGTGTTCGAAATATTTTTAAAAATATTACTTTTGCCTGTAAATTTTTCTTTGTGTAAATTCACCAAACTCTCCTCATTAGATTGTAAGAACTAAAATTATGTGTTAACGTTAGGGAGTGTCTTCTTGCCTAGCAGTAGGGGAACGAGGCTATCTGGGAGCGGCCGGTGGTGGATCACTGAATTGCTCACCACTGCAGCCTGCAGACTGGTAGAAGGAGGGGAAAAGAATCCCAAGATCATGAAGTTAGTGACTGAGACCTTAGCCTTCATGTAAGCCCAAATATGTAGACATATTTATTAGCCTAAGGCAGCAATTTAAGCCCATAATACATGATTTAGGAATTTAGAAGGAATTGTTTGTCTACATTCTCTTTTTGTAAGTAGATTTGGAATGAGAATTTGGTTTTTATGAGTATTCTATTTCTTGTGTTTTAAAGAATCCCAGGAAAACCTCCTAAGCAATTTTTAAATTCAAGTCTATATCACTTCTTGCTTTCTTTTTTTTTTTTTTACTATTGTTGCCCAACCTTCTCTTAAGATTCTTGTCTATCACATCACTGTATACTTAAGCATTTTTAAAAGCAATTGGCCTTCATACATATTAAATTCTTGTTAAGGACAATTTGGTAAACTTACTGAAAGTGGTTTAATGTCTCTATACCTTTTATGCATGGATAAGTCCACAAACCCCAAAACAACTTTTTACATTAAGTAGAAAGGTTACAATTTTTTATTATTAAAAAATATATGGTCTTTGATTTCAGAGTCTTCTCTCTTTCCCCTTCTGCCTCTGAGTATTTAACGGTTGTACGAAACTAGCTCAGAGACCCATCCTGTTTTCAGAGCTGTGCTCCTTCCCAATCAGTATGAGGACACAGGCAGTAATAAAAAGGACAGGTAATAGCTTTAAGAAAACTCCCATTTGTCAGCATAGGTGCCTCGGATTCATACTGCAATACGAATGGGCTAAGAGCCTATGAAATTCCAGGAGCTTTCTTGGGCTACTTCTCATAGGTAGTTTTGCAGAAATCCCAGATAAGGATAGAGTTTGGCTTAAAACACCTAGTGAGTGTGCTGCACTCGCTAGTCTTTCAACCTTTATGACCTGATTCTTTGTGGGTAGAGGTCCCCTTGGATCAGGAAGCCAACCCCTTCCAGATGCCCATCACTTCCTTACTTTGGCTTTAAGATATTTGTACTAACTTTGCAGATTTTATTATCCCTCTGTCCTTCTGGAATTTTCTCTAGCTCCAGCTAGAAAGGGCACTTCACCATTTCAACACCATTCCAACCACTAGGTGAATCTGGCATCCTCACTAGGATTCTGTCTATCTTATATAGGCTCTGTCCCACAACCCAGTCCAAACTAGTTTCCATTCATCCTCCAAGAGGACAGAGCCTTTCCACTCTAGTCTCTCAGGTGAGGGATGGAGGTATGGATTCATAACTCATTTATGTAATGGAGATGACACACAAGGGAGCACTTCTTAAGCCCAGTCAGCAGCTCTACCCACCATGTACATATATATCTTTTTAAATGCCATGCATCTCAATGTAACAGGGATTTTTTGCATTTTAAAGAGAAATCAAGGTAATCCAAACAGCCATTATTGATAAAAATGTCTAGGAGTAGAAGAGTCTGGCAACGAGCAAAAACTTTACATCAAACTCATCTCTTTATATCAAACCTTTTACATCAAATTTACATCTTTATTCTTCCTACCTACTGTCTTTTTGCAAATGAAATATATGTCTCTATGGCGAGTACGGCTTTAGGGATCCCATCCCAGATGCCAATATCTGGGAGCAGAAATTACACTCACCTGCTTCAAGACTGCTCATTTCCCCTACAGCCCCCCACATAGGGCGGTGACTTTTCAATTAATGGAGAAAAGAATAATGTGTTCCCTACAAGGTTTTACATCTAAATTAATAAGACGGTATAATTCAGCTCTTGCTCTGAATACCAAAGAAATGAACATGACAAGTTTTTTTTTTTCTTCTTCCCCCTTTATATGTTGTGACACAAAACCGGATGAATCAGAGAGTCAAAGGGATGAAAGAAAATGCAGCCAACAGACATTGTACTCAGCACCTACCCCGCGTCAGACAGGTGCTGGCGTACAAAGATGACGAGAGGTCACTCAGCCTCAGAGAGTATGCAGGTTACTCAGGAAGGAGGCATGATGCATGCGCCAATAATATTCAGATGAAGTATATAAAGTGTGTTGTGGGAACTCACAGAGGACACTGTCGTCCCTTACAGATTCACACAGGAGCAAGCCTCTCTCCAGATCTTTTGAGGACCATGTATTATATGTCCCATGGGTGTACCGCGTGTAATAACGTTGCTTTAACCTGTTGCGTTGGTTCACTGCTGACTTTATATTTTCATCAGCCAGGGCCAGAAGATCTCTTCTAGGTAAGACATTCCCGTCAATGACAATATAAATGCTTCCTGATCACTGCTATTTGTAGGGGCTGGAAAGCCACTGGCACAAACCAGCCCTCGTATTCTTAGAAAATGATTCATTAAAGGGATGTGTGTACATCCACGAATCACATGGGATCTCTTTTTATGTAAGTTTCGAGGACCAGTGGTCTTATATTTTTAAATGCCAGCTTATGGAAACCCCACTGGCTTCCCCTGCCGTGAATACACTGGTTGCTTGAGGAGCTATCCCAAGGCACCATTCAGAGGCCGTCATTTCACTGTGAAGACCGTTAAAAAGAATAACTGGTATCAATAACACTTACCTGTGTATGCAGAGGGAAGGTTACCCAGCCATAACAAGCCCAGATTCACACAGCCACTACTTAAAACAATGCAATGTTTGGGATTTATGAGAATAAACCCTGTCAGGAATAATGCCCTTATGGGGGCCTTCATGATTCATTTGGCATATTCTGCTGTGTACTCACAGTTCAATCAAATCTGCCATGCGGTTATAGGCTAACGTGCTTGCATACAAGATGCAAACGATACACACCGGAAAGGTTCACTTCTCAAAAAGAGGTATGGCTTTAGATGCCCTTCTGACTCTTGTGTTCCACTAACACAGCCATAGGACTGTTTCCAATGCAAAATCTGCAACATTACTAGCGATTATCGACATCGCTCAAGGGTACTGGAAAAATGAGGGGGAAGCATTACCATTACATAGAAAGATGGATCAAGCATGAATCAAGATGGAAGGAACACCAGCAACAGATACACTCGGGCAAGGGAAGGAGCCCCCGAACAACAAGGATGAGGACGACAGTAACACAACAAAGAGCATCGCTTAACCTGTTTTGTCAGAGCTGGTATTGATGGTATTGGTAGTGATGGAGGTGAAGGTAGTCTTTGCGCTGTCCTTGGCAGTTACAGATTTCTGCTTATTTTTCATGGCTTCCAGTGCTTTGAGCTTCTTGGCATGTTTCGTGCCTTTGTAGTGGGCCGCAGCCTGGCTCTACAAAGGAGAACAAAATGAACCATGCAATCAGGCTCATTTCTAAACTGGCATTCTCTGTATTACTGCAAATACAGACTCCCTTTCAATAATAGGTACCATTCACGCGAATTCTGGCTGTGGTCAAACGGTGGGGTTCTATTTAGAATGATGCTACGAAGCAACGGGAATCAAGTTCTAAAACCTCTGGACGGAAGGAAGAAATATTCTATTGCTTCTCTTCAGAGAAATGTAGATGAACACTAACATAGCAACAACATTTTCTTTGTGGAGTGGGAGATAAAAGAATTTACAACTGTATTGCCTTTGTTCTGTCACAGAAGATGCTGGGCTCCCAGAGATTAACAAGGGCCCTAGAAAGAGTAGCTCTCACCTTCTTGGCTCCGGAAATATGTTTCTCCTGCTACAATGTGTCTTATTAATACAGGACCCAACAGGTGTCTACCGGGAAAAATTCACCGATAACAAGGGAAATAGGCCCCCTGGAGGCTGGGATGGGAGCGTGAGAGTTCAAAATCAAATGCACTGCTGAAGTCCAAATGGAGTATGTGGAAGCTGGGCAATTTTATGATTCTTTCTTTCTCTTTGCTTCCCACAGAGGGTAGTCTGAGTTCAAGGTATTCTTTCAACACGTGTGTCCTTTGTGCCCTGGTCCATTGCCAGGAGGATCCAGTGTGTTTTGAGCACTTCATGTGGCCGATGCAATACTTTTGCCTTTGCTTTCTGAGACTTCTATAAATAGTAATATATATATTCCCAAGTTTCCATTTTCTTAACCTTATCTTTTGGTATTGGAGAGATAATGAGATAGAAAATTATCTTAAAATATATATATATTTATTAATGTTAATTTATTGGTGGTGACGGGGAAGCCTTTGTAGTTTAGGGTGAGGTGGAAGTGGGCAGGGAGATTCTTAGATTAGAAGGTTTTCCAGCTCAAAACCTTTAAAACTATGACCTCACAAGGAAGAAATCTCGGTGGAGGACTAATTCTGTATAGTATCTATGCATCACTTCCCATGACTTATTTAAACTCAATGTTCCATTTTGCCAGAAAAATGCACATTGGCCTCTTCATCACAGCAACTGTGGTAGGTAGGGTGTTGCAGTATAATATCTTTTTATAAGTAGATAAATATATAATCCACACCTTCATTTGCATCATTCTGACAAGTATCCTCAAAGGACTAGGTACCTTTATTGAAAGAACACTGGACAAGGAAATTGTATATTAGAAACAGTTTGAACAGAGAGGACACTCATGCATCAGTTTTCCAACAACACATAACATCAAAAGACATAGTGTGAGTCAAAATATGAAGTTAAGACTTACTATAGTTAATTGAGGAACCAGTGATAGATTGGATTGGTTTGATTCTACATGGAAAATGCTATTTTGATGGACAGAGTGGTGTCCCTTTTTTCTCCTTCCTGATTTATTTCCAATAATTCAAATCCTTTGGGTATATCTTTTGAGGGCATGATGCTGTATTCAATTAATTCCACAATATATAGTCGGTCATCTTCTCTAGACAGCTGATGATGTACTTTCCCTTAAAGCAAGGCTCATCTCCTACTCCTGGTATAGAAGTGAATGCTTTATATATAATGCATATTAAAATATAAAGTTGAGATAAACAGTGCTATCCCCACATATATCTTCCAAATATACATTTTGTACATATACTTTCATTCTAATGTTCCTGGCAAATCTATATTCTCGGTGGTATTTCAAATCAGATATGACTTTGTTTTAATACACCATAGGACCAGGTGAATGTCACTATTTTAGATATTAAGAAAGTTACTCCAAAAGAATCCTGACACTTAAGAGTGTACTTATATCCCGCGCCCCCCGGCTGAAAAAAAAAAAAACCCTCTGCACAGATACAGCTAAGCCAATGCTTCCTACAAGTGAAATGGCTCAGGGAGTTGTGGGGAAAAGAGAGTGATCAAATTACCAATAGTTGGTAGGCTCCCAGTTGAGACCCCTGATATATTAAAAAGCAAAACAAAAGAAGACAATATGCACACTCGTTAATTGAAAAATAGTCCCAAAGTGCCCTGATAATAATTAAAATATCTGCTATTAAAAAAAAAAAGCAAGTGAGCCTCCCACAAATTTGAAAAGAAAAAGTTGAATGGTATGAAGGTCCAAAATGCTATGGAGAGACCTGTAGAATTTCGGGGGAAATGTTGGATATAGTGGAGGCGGATCGGGATAGCCTCAATGTGATTGTGGTGGTGTAGGGTGTGTGTGCGCTAGAGGTAGAAGTCGATATACAAGTTGGAAACAGAATGCAGACAGATAACCCTTCTGGATACTGTAAATTTTCTTTGTCATTGATCTTTATGTTTGTATAGTTTATGGGACTGCTCTTGGGTTCTACTGGTATTAATTTTAATATCTAGGCATACTGCCCCCTGAACTCTTCTTTTTTTGTATTCTTTTCCACTATGGTTTATCATAGGATGTTAAATATAATTTTCTGTGCTATACAGTAGGACATTGTTGTGTATCCATTCTCTCTATAATAGTTTACATCTGCTAACCCCAAACTCCCAATCCTTCCTTCCCCCATACCTCTTCCCCTTCGGCAACCACCAGTCTGTTCTCTATGTCTGTGAGTCTGTTTCTGTTATAGGTAAGTTAATGTGTGTCATATTTTAGATTCCACATAGAAGTGATATCATATGGTATTTGTCTTTCTCTGTCTGACTTCACTTAGTATGAGAATCTCTAGTTGCATCCACGTTGCCGCAAGCCCCCTTGATACAGGTGTGTTGCATAAAGGCGTGTTCCTTGTGTAAATGAAGAAAGCCCAGACAGCTCTCCTTACCCTGTTAGCCCACTTCACTGGACTGGATAGATTTTTCAGCTACATCTAACCTTTCTGTTACTGTAGACAAAGCTGCAGCCTAAGAAGGAATCGTGCTGAGAGATTTTTCAAAAAGCAGTAGTTGGACAGGGATGTGTCTTTGGGCCTCATCTGCTTTGCCTTTGGGCAGAGAGGTGCTGGGTGTATGTAGCATGCCATTTTCCCTCCAAGGTTGTCTCCTATTATTTCTTAGCCAGTCTCTGAGTCAAGTCATCCTCAGAAACTGGGGAACCATCGAACACAAACAGACTATTATTTTTCACAGGAATGATTTCAAAGTTAAGTAAGTATACTACTTCATCACAGCACATGTCAGAATTCTGTATTTTAAAACTCAAAGAGAATTAGGTGATCAAAGTACACAGAGAACAAGAAAACATTGCTTTCAACAAGTTCCTTTCAGATCATAAATGGGATATTCGGGTATAGTGTAAAAATCACTATCGCCGACCTTGAACTAGCACGTGACACCATGAAATCTAACAAGTGTCATCCCAGAGGCAAGCGGTGACATTCAAGATATGCACACACATTCCTGCAGAATAGCGATGCCACTTTAAATGTCAGCACCAATCCTAGCCTTCAGTAGCCAGTCAGACTTTTCAATCTTCAAAATTTGTCTTCAGTGTTTCAAAAAGGCTTCAGGTTTAAATGCAACTGAAGTTCCAAAGTAGATAAAAATAACCGTGAAATGGCGAACACTTGGAAGAGTTTCATCATTTTGAAACACATGCACACATATACACACATCTATTTTGCTTATCTATGAGGCTTTGTTATAAAGCACTATTATTCTGTGAAACTCACTGCAAAATTAATGTTCATGCATCCTTTTATTCCCTTAGCTCCAATACCTTGTACAATTTTAATCTGCATGTCTTTGGCATAAAGTCTCATGATATGCTTTTGAAGAACTAGGAAGTTTAGTGTAAGCATACATATATGGCAATGATAACGAATTCATTTTCACGAGCACGTGATTTCAAAAAGAACAAGGTGGTCTTTGTTAGTTTCTGATGTCATTTCATTTTATCACATTCAATTTTTATTAAAATAAAATGAACATTATCCTATTAAAGTGTAACATCAGAAAAATAAAGAGTGGTTATGAAAGAAGTTACCATCCTCTTTGGGGAGACAAAAGATAATACTTGAACAGAGGAATTCTTTATTTTTTAAGAAAATTATCTGATTTCAAAACTTTAACTTAGATTGTTGTTTTGGATATATAAAAAAATGAAATGATAAAAAGCTATAGTATCCTAAACTGTAAAACACTTACTTTAGATTTGTATTTTGAAAACTATTGAAAAACTACTCCTGGAAAAAAGTTTAAAATTTGTATTTATCTCTGTACAGTTTTTTTTGTTTTGTTTTGTTTTTTGTTTTTTTGCGGTACGCGGGCCTCTCACTGTTGTGGCCTCTCCCGTTGTGGAGCACAGGCTCCGGACGCGCAGGCTCAGCGGCCATGGCTCACAGGCCCAGCCGATCCGCGACATGTGGGATCCTCCCGGACTGGGGCACGAACCCGTGTCCCCTGCATCGGCAGGCGGACTGTCAACCACTGCGCCACCAGGGAAGCCCTGTACAGTTGTTTTTATGTTGCATACACTCACTCAAATCTAGTATTGAGGCCATCTGCATAGGTTCAGCCATGTGGATTAAGACCAGTATGCATTCTAACTGTTCAGCGGCTTGTTAAATATTTTGAATATCACTTTTGTATATCTCAATAGAAAGTTTCTAATGATTCTATCTTAATTTATTATCAACTCTCAGTTTCATTTAATACTCATATAAAGCATTAGTTCTTAAAGTGTGGTCCCCAGATGAGTAGCAGCAGTGGCAGCTGGGAGCTTGTTAGAAATGCAGGGAATTGTACCCAACATCTTATAATAACCTATAATGGAATATAATCTGGAAAAAAGAATGAATCACTATGCTGTACATGTGAAACTAACATAATACTGTAAATCCATTATACTTCAATTAAAAAAAGCAATAAGATGATATTCAGTGAACTTGAAAAAAAAAAAAAGGAATGCAAATTCTCAACTTCTTTCCCAGACCCACTGAATCAGAAACTATGGCTATGAAGCTCAGCAATCCGTGTTTTACAAC